AATTTTTTGTATTTTTAGTAGAGACGAGGTTTCACCATGTTGGCCAGGCTGATCTCGAACTTCTGACCTCAGGTGATCCACCTGCCTTGGCCTCCCAAAGTGCTGGGATTACAGGCAGGAGCCACCACACTCTGCCCTTCTATAGAGAAATGTCAGATATAGGTGATGGGGAGGAAGGCAGCAAATCACACTGCCACGTGTGTACCTATGCAAGAATCTTGCATGTTCTTCACATGTACCCCAAAACCTAAAATGCAATAAAATAAAATAAGATAAGAATTAAAATGACATTAAGGAATAATAAATGTGCAGTGGCCCTCTTCCAGAGAGAGGAAGTTTTGGGGAAATGTCTGCCCGGATTGAACTCTCTTCCTGTAGCTAGTATCTTGTGGCATGAAATTTGGAGCCTCCGTCGATGATGAACCTGTTTTGAACATTTTTCCTTTGGCACAAATTTGCTTCAATTGTGAATCTCCTGCTTTCTTTAATGTTTTTGGTTAAATGTCAGCGTCTTAAAAATTCAGACTGAAGATGAGATTCCTGATTTTGTCTTGGCATTAAGCCAAGGGATTAAGGTGGAATTTAATAGAACATCCACATGGAGATTTTAGTGAAGTGCAAATTATGAAGCTAGATGATAATAAAGTATGTATGGTGAAATGTCTCAGACTTTCATTTAAAAATCAGTCAGATTGGCCATGTATGGTGGCTCACGCCTGTAATACCAGCACTTTGGAAGGCCAAGGCGGGCAGATCACAAGGTCAGGAGTTCCAGACCAACCTGGCCAATATGGTAAAACCCCATCTCTACTAAAAATACAAAAATTAGCTGGGTGTGGTGGCTCGTGCCTGTAGTCCCAGATACTTGGGAAGCTGAGGCAGAAGAATTGCTTGAACTTAGGAGGTGGTGGTTGCAGTGAGCAAAGATGATGCCACTGTACTCCAGCCTGGGAGACAGAGTGAGACTGTCTCGAAAAAATAAAAATCAGTGAGATTGAAGCCTCTGAGGTCCTTTTTTTTTTTTTTTTTTTGAGACAGAGTTTTGCTCTTGTTGCCCAGCCTCCACCTCCTGGGTTCAAGTGATTCTCTTGCCTCAGCCCCCCGAGTAGCTGGGATTGCAGGCATGCGCCACCGTGCCTGGCTAAGTTTGTATTTTTAAGTAGAGGTAGGGTTTCTCCATGTTGGTCAGGCTGGTCTCAAATTTCCGAGCTCAGGTGATCTGCCTGCCTCAGCCTCCCAAAGTGTTGGGATTACAGGTGTGAGCCACTGTGCCCAGTCGAGGTCCTCTTTTTACATAGTATGCACTAAACCATCACACCAACATTGTATCTGATTTTTGCATTAGAAAATTTTTTTTTCTGGAAAATAAAAATATTTTTATTGAATTTGCCTAGGAAATCTAGGGAGATCTGGAACATATTCTCCTCTGAGCTATTGTATATGACTGTATCTCAAGTCATTCTCAAATTTCTCTGTCTCTTTTTTCCATCCAAACTGTGCTCAGTATAAATTACCAGGATGTCCCAGGGACTTTAACCCTGTGTGTGGCAGTGACACGTCCACTTATCCCAATGAATGTACTCTGTGCATGAAAATCATGTAACGTGATTTTACAACTGTAAAATTTTCCTTCATTTCTTTTTTTTTGTTTGTTTCTTTGTTTTTTTGACACATAGTCTCACTCTGTCACCCAGGGTGGAGTGCAGTGGCAAAATCTTGTCTCACTGCAACCTCCACCTCCTGGGTTCAAGCAATTCTCATGTCTCAGCCTCCTAAGTAGCTGGGATTACAGGCACCACCATGCCCGGCTAATTTTGTATTTTTAGTAGATATGGGGTTTCACCATGTTGGCCATGCTAGTTTCAAACTCCTGACCTCAAGTGATCCATCTGCGTCGGCCTCCCAAAGTGTTGGGATTACAGGCGTGAGCCACCGTGCCCGGCCTCTTCGTTTCTTTTGATGGATTTTGATTACTTAGGAGGTAGTGTCTGTTTTCTTGGATATAAGTATCAAAAGTGACATGGTAGTTCTCAGTTTTCAGGGTGTTGGTTAAAAAGATGCAAAATCCTCAGTGCATTTTTCAAGTCAAGTTAAAGAACGAGATGTAATCAAATTATTTTATTGCCCATGAATTTGAAATTTCATAAAATTAAGAGTCTATTGAATAGTTAAACTCTGTGGAGTATTAAGTTTTATCTTTAATTCAAGGGGCATGTGTGGGTGATCTGCACACCCTGTGCTACTAGTCGGGAAATAGGACTTACTGACTTTACTTAGTGGAATGCTAAGTAATGAGTGTATTATACTTGATACGCTTCATGTAGCACACCTGACCAGGTGACTGTGACTGCTTCTTCAGGCATGCAGCTTTGTATAGAGCAGGGATTCATTATGTGGCTTCAGCCGGTCTTCTCTGATTTTTTTTTTTTTTTTGAGACTGAGTCTCACTTGTGGCCTGGCTTACTGCAACCTCTTCCTCCCAGGTTCAAGCAATTCTCCTGCCTCAGCCTCCCAAGCAGCTGGGATTATAGGCATGTACCATCACACCTGGATAATCTTTGTATATATATATATTTTGATTTGGAATTTTGCTCTTATTATCCAGGCTGGAGTGCAATGGCACAATCTCAGCTCACTGCAACTTTCACCTCTGGGGTTCAAGAGATTTTCCTGTCTCAGCCTCCCAAGTGGCTGGGATTACAGGCAAGAGCCATCATACCCAGCTAATTTTTGTACTTTTAGTAGAGAAGGGGTTTCACCATATTGGTCAGGCTGCTCTTGCACTCCTAACCTCAGGTGATCCACTTGATTTGGCCTCCCAAAGCGCTGGGATTACAGGCATGAACCACCACACCTGGCCTAATTTTTGTATATTTAGTAGAGATGGGTATTCACCATGTTTGCCAGGCTGGTCTTGAACTCCTAACCTCCAATGATTCGCCCACCTCAGCTTCCCAAAGTGCTGGGATTACAGGCGTGTTCAGCCCTCTGAGTGATTCTTTGGGGTTAGTGTCCTGTGCCTTAGGGTTAGGGAAAAAATGGCTGAGTGGGGACTTTCACCCCGTTTCCTAGATTTAGCTTTAAAAAATGATTAAGTGTAGCCCTGAAGGAATATAATGTATAATTACATGGGTCCTTTTAATATTAATAGTGAGGCAGTTTCAGTATGATAGGTAATGATTGTGTTTCTATGATTGTTCAGTTTGCAGGGAAGATGGTCATGATATTAAAATCATCCAAAATGAACCCTGCTAATGGAGCAGTTTACAGAAAAGAAGATGGAGTTACCACCTTGATTGGCACACTAGATAAATCGCATTTCCTCTTTTTCTTTTCCTATGTTTCTTTGCACGAGGTTTGTTAACCCACATTTTCTAAGAGGAGATATGGAAGACAGCTATGTGTAGTGATAGATAATTTAAAGAAAGAAAGAATCTTCGTTTCTTGGCTTTTGCTCCTAGAATTAAGCTTACTGCCTAGATGATTTGTGCATTGGTTTATTCAGTTGAAATAAAATCAGCATTGAATTCAGTTCTTACTGTTCTCTGTTGAAAATGCTGTTCTCATTTCAGGGGAGGCAGAATTTTACCTCTATCCTTTAAGAGTTTTTCAGCTGGGTCAGAGAATTAAATGAACATAAGACAGATCAACAGGATCAGAAGCATACAGACTTATTTAATACAAATTTCACTTGGCATGGGTGTCTTCAAAAAGAAACGCTCAAAGACACATAGTTGAACACTGATATGCTGAATTAGACAAACAGTAGTGAATTATGAAAGTGTGGCATGGCAGATGGGCTTGGGCTGAGTTAATTGGGTGGAGAAATGGCTGGGAGGATAAAGTTTATTTGTACACATTTCCCTTGACCTCAATTTCCAATTTTCCCCAGTCCTTGATGATAAAAATGTTACTTTACTTCTGGCATAGGGAGGATATCTTTCACATGGGAATTTTATCTCCTGCTTTTAAGAAACAGAAGGAAAGTTATAATGACCTTCTTGCACCTGCTGTTCTTCAAGTGTTTTTAACACAAAACAGTCAATATTGCCAGGGCAGCATATTTTGGGTTGGCATATTCTTAACACCTTCGTCACTCAGCAGCCTCACATGGCTCTGTTCCTCTCAGGCATGGGTAAATTTCAGTGGGTGAAAAGTGGAGTTGTTGAGAGGGTAAGACCTAATTCCTTTCCCTAATTCTTGGATAATTTTATGTGTAATTGGTATAGTGTTGGCTGCACATGGCAAATAACTGTAAGATACTTGGATCTAACATTAACCCAAACTGGTAAAGAATCAATGGAGGTACAAATATTTATTAGATTAAAAATTTCCTTTCAATACAGTTTCCATTCTGAGTTCACACAGGAGTTTGGCTTTTCTTAGATCAGTGGTTCTCAATCCAGGGTGATTTTCCCCAAGGGGACATTTGGCAGTGCATCTGGAGGCATTTTTGGTGTAACAGCTGAGGTGCGGAGTGCTACCCAGGGATGTTTCTAAACAACCTGCATTGCATAGGCAGCCCCCAACAGCAAGGAATTTTCCAGTCCAACCTCAATAGTGCTAAGATTGAGACATCCTGGTTTAGAGTTTGATACAGCATAAGCATTTTATAACAATAAGTGACCAGGGATTCAGAATGACAGCATTTTCCAGGTAGAGAATTTTGAGTCATAGGGCCTGGGTTTAAGTACGTTCCAGCACCAGGACATGGTGAGACACGATGCAAGAGGTCGCTGGGAGAGTGGTATAGTGGAAGAACATGGTTTTTGGGGGTGAGCTAAATATGAGTTCATTTTGATTCCAATTCTTGTGTTTCTGTTTTCAGATCTGAAAATGGGCTGATGCTTAGCTCCTGGAGCTATGGTGAGGAAACTGCTTAGCATAGTGTTTGGCACATAGAAACCACGGTAATAGGTGCTACTGTTGCTTCAGGCACCTCTCCTAGAGAGGAGAAAACAGGCCCACAAAGACAAACACATTTGCTTAAGGTGAGAGAACACATTTAAAGCTGAGCCTGGACCTCCTATGGTGGCTCATGCCTGTAATCCCAGCACTTTGGGAGGCTGAGGTGGGCAGATCACAAGGTCAGGAATTCAAGACCAGCCTGGCCAATATGGTGAAACCCCATCTCTACTAGAAATACAAAAATTAGCCGGGACTGGTGGCACGCACCTGTAGTCCCAGCTAGTCGGGAGGCTGAGGCAGGATAATCACTTGAATCCAGGAGGTGGAGGTTGCCAGCTTGGGTGACAGAGTGAGACTCCGTCTAAAAAACAAAAAAACAAAAAACAAAACAGCCCAGTCTAGGAGCCTGGACCTGCAAATTTTAAGTCCTCTGTTTTTACACAAAATAGGGGTGATGAAGTGGAAATCTGTATAACATAAATGTACCACAATTATTGTCCTGTAATTATTTTTGGCTTAAAATTTTTATAGAAGTCATATATGCTTTTTGGAGAATTAAAAAGAAAAATATGGACCAGGTGCAGTGGCTCACACCTGTAATCCCAGCACTTTGGGAGGCTGAGGCAAGAGGATCACTTGAGACCAGGAGTTCAAGACCAGCCTGGGCAACATAGGAGACACTGTCTCTATTAAATAAATAAATAGATAGATACAGAAGTATATAAAAATAGAGTGAAAGTCTTATCCATCCTAGCTTCCAGAGACACTTAAAACTGTTTGGAAATGTCTTTTCTCTCTAAATATATGTGTATACAAAATTACACACATGCACACACAACAACTGTCCTGTAAACTTGCTTTTACTCTTAAATATTGGGTTTGTTTTCATGTTGATATATATTGTTTCTTCTTCTGTTTTAAAAATTTATTATTATTATTATTATTATTATTTTTGAGACTGAGTCTTGCTCTGTTGCCCAGGCTGGAGTGCAGTAGCATGATCTCT